TAAATTTTGTTTGGACAATTAGCAGACCTATGAGATGTTACCTGATTTTTTAATTCCTTGAGTTTTGGAGATTTTCTTTCTAATGCTTTTCTTTCTAATTGATAATTGAAGATGATTATCATAATGTTAATAAAAATCCTAATAGCAATAAAAATGAACAAAGGGTCTTTCTGAAAATCAAGAAAAAGGACAAACAATGCAATAGGTAGGGCTAGTAATAGACATCTAAGTGACTAAGCATTAGTCTTTGTGCAAATACAATCAATAAACCCAAAGACACAGTGTACATGGCATGTATTTTTGCCATCCCAGCAACAAATAGTGAATGCATGTAACAAAAAATCAGAATATATGAGGGTGCACATAAGCAGTGCAAACTGATGAAATTGCCAATGCACCCTGTGGTGGTTCTGCCCATTCCACCGAGAACGAACCAGAGATGGGTCCAAAAATCATATAGTAATTCCCTCATTCTCATAGGCCAACCTAACTCAAAAATTGCCCCCTTGACCCCCCCCCCCCCCGAGACAGTTCCCTTAAAGAAAAAGGTTTCCTAGGACAACTTTCACCAATTCAGTATCTATTTGATTATTAGGAAACATGGATCTCTGGCATACTGCACTGGTGCTGAATAGGCATCATTTTACTTATGGGGAAGTCTGGCCAGGCATGGGTTCCCATTAGTGAAACTGAATTAAGGGTAGCTTATACTCAGCATGCATGAAAAAAACTCTCCTATGTATGACAGACCTCACATACATTTCCTTCGTAAGGTGACAGGGACATTACTGCAACTATATTCCTAGATTTTTAACTCTTTTTCCCTTTTATGTTTGTTCTAACAACTTCTACAAAATGTTACTGCAACACAATCTATAATTTGATTCAGAATATGTCTAACTTACCTCTATCTAATAGATAATAACAAACTGATTAGTAAAATTACAATAAATAAATAAAAAATTCCCTCAAAGATCATCAAGCAATTCAACTGATCAAGCCTTTGCACACTTGAAATATAGTTTGCATGTGACATCTTACTGATAAGATAAATTAGTTTTATAGAAGAGAAATTTATCATAAAAAATAAGAAAAAGAAATGATTGAGCTTTAAAACTCTTTTTCTCAATAATTATTCTTTTTAAGCAAGAAGGTAAATAACTCATCATCTTTATTCCAATTTCAAACTTCTTTTTCTTTATAGGAGACTATTCATACACAACAAATCTGTTGTTTTTCAAATCTTTATCTTGAAAAATACATGGGCAATTTTTTGTCTTTTTGTAAGAGAAAATATTGCCTTAATTGGAAACCATGTACCTGAAAAACGAAAATAAAAAATTTGGAAGGCAAAGATTAGCGGCTTTCATGTTAATATTTTCATGTATCTCTTAGTAAGGGTATATGAATTATTCACTCCCCAATGTCTAACAAAAATTTCATTCATATGTCCAGCTTCTAGGATGGAGCAATTAACTCCTCCTTATTACTAACTCCAAAAACTGTAGCTCAAAAGAAACACATTTGTATTACCAGCAATTGTTACAGAGAGCATCTTACAACCTCAAAGTATTATCTTTTTACAGGGGAAAACTCCAGAATGTTAAGGCCCATTGGCTGACAGTTCCCTTATGAGGTTGATCTAATGGAAATGTATTGCCTTTTCAGTGTAAGGGATAGAAGTTATGTAAATAATTAAACATATTTATCTTGTTGGAATCAAGGTAAAATGTCAGATCATATTATCAGTAGGTTGTTGGTATTGGCAAAAATTAAGCAGCTACATTTTCAAAATTATACTCTCAGGTTCTCCAACATCCTGAAGAAAAAAACAAAAAAGAAGGAAACAAAGAAAAGAAAAGAGAGTGAATGAAAAAAGAGTCAGACAGGCAAAACTAGAGAACAAACCACAACCCAAGCCCCACAACCATGATTTCTGCCCTCACCAATGGCCATCTGTCTGAGTGCCGCCTTGAGGACGGTGATGAGGTGTGAGGGGCTGGTGCCTGCTGGGTCACTTGGGTTGAAGAGTTGCACCATTACCTCCACGCACTCCTGCACCTCTTGCATAAGAGACACCAACCCTGGAAATGCCGTGGACATTTGGTATATTGAGCATCATATTCCCATTAGCTCTTTGCACAGACTGAGTAGGCCTATATAATGTAGCTATGTATCAAGGCTATCCAGCTAACTACCTTTGTATGTGTTAATCAATCTGCCACCAACTCATATTCATGCTGCCTGATATTCTGTATCATCTAAGTGTGTACTATATATATATATATATATATATATATATATATATATATATATATATATATATATATATATATATATATATGCATGTATATGTATATATATGTATATGTATATATATATATATATATATATATATATATATATATATATATATATATATATATATATATATATATATATATAATAATATATATATAAATCTAAACATCAACATATGTATACATATCCATTTATTGAGCTATGAATCTATCTGTATATAGATTCTGGCCTACCAGCATTGCCCTAGTAGTTAACTAACTAAAAAGCAAACTCATACACAACAAAAGCAGAAACAAAGCTGGCAGTGACCACCAGTTTGACTCACTATTCCGCAAATTGGTATTTTTGACAAAGATATCACACTTCTTGCACAGGTCCTCTAATCCTGTCATGTGTTGGGTGGCAGCCATGGTCCTCTGTGCAGTGGCTGTGGTCAAGCTGGCTGGCAGACAGCAAGAATACAGATAGTGTAAGACTGTTTCTAGCACCGCATCCTCTAGCCCACTGAGATCTTGCCAGTCCATGCCTGGCAGGCTGCACTCAAGGACAATGCTGTGAACTTCGAACTGTTGGGGGGTAAGAGAGGGTGATGCAGGACAAGGAATGTGCGGTGAAGGTTGGGATGGGGTGGATGGTGGAGAAAGAAGATGGAGAGAGAGAAGGTGGTGAGAAGGAGGGGGTGAGCCAGAGGGGGGAGAAAGAGGTGGAGTACGAGTGGAGGAGAAGGGATGGAATGAACATAGAGGGATGGAGAATGGAAATACAGAGAGAGGAGGATATAAGTCAGAGAGAAAGAGAGGAATTAGAAAGAGGGAGGGGGAGAAAGAGAAGAATATAATCAGGTGACTTCTCTAGTTTTTCATACAATTCACTTGTCCAATTCTTTATCATTTATTTTCAAAAAAGAATACCAGATGTGTATACCAGGTAAATCAATATTCCACCGTACAAAACCAGCCTAAATAAAAATCTGTATATGCTATATAATCAGGATTCAACAAACACTCTGTACTCCTTTCTAGTATTCCACATATCAAATGAAATTCTTAATTTCTTGGAATTTGTTATCTTGGATGCATGCACTATGCTCCCAAGTCCTAATTTACAGTAATTCTAAGTATCAAAATAAAACAGTTTGAGCATCAGTTTCATGTGACTTCTTTTGTAATCTGATTCAATTTTTTGCAATCATTTCCTGTAAATGATTACACATTAGTCTAAGACTCCTCTACCTTTTTTATATTTTCTTATATTCCAAACAAGAGGTCAAGCAAACTCTGCTTTATACTGATAAACTGGATATATTTTCATTTGAACTTTAATCCTTTTTATCCTGATTTACAAAAGATGCATCAACTTGAATGGTAACTTCCCGTAAACTTCCCCTGTATTCTGGATACCAAAAGTACAGTCTGCCATTCCCCAGAAATAACCAATCCCCTTACCTTTCTTCCTGATCTAGCAGTGATGGTGACGTCAGAAAAATAGCCGTCAGACAGCGCGGGGAGGAGAGAGTATGGAAGGTCAGGAGCCACGTCTGGGGTGCTCAGCTAGTGCAAGAAGATTAAAGGAAGTAAAAGGCATCAGTAACCGTGATGATAACAGTGATGAAAACGATAATGATAGTGATGATGACACTGATTATGATTATCATGATGATGATGACAATGATAATGATACTGATTATGATGACACTGATGATAATGATACTGATTATGATGACAATGATGATAATGATACCAATCATGATTTCAGTGAGGAGAATGATAATAATTATAATGAAAAACGATATTGATATTAATGATGATACTACTGTTAATGACACTATTAATATCAGTGATGATGTTACAGATAATAATCAAAATGACCAGGTTAATGCTATCATCTATATGAATGCTAATGATAATATCAACTTTCAAAAATCATCACCAATACAGCAACTTAAACAAGACCTAATAATCCTGATCTCTTGAAAAAAAAAAAAAAAAAAAAAAAAAAAGAAAGAAAGAAAGAAAGAAAGAGTACGGACACTCACCTTTTCGCACTGCAACATAAACCATCCATCATATGTCAACAGCATGAGGTCTCTCGACATCACCGGTTGGTCCAGCTAATAGAGAACAGAAAAAAAAAAAAATATATTTATCTAATGAGTTTGAGTAATGGATAATGATTATAACATCATCTACATTAATAATAATAATAACGACAGTAATAACAATGATAATAAAAACAATGATAAAAATAATACGGATCTCAATAGCATTAATAAAAATAATAATAGACATATTACTAGACCTAATAGCAAATATAATGGCTCTACTATTACTACTATTAATGCTAATGAAAGTAATAACAGTAACAATGTTGATAGGCTTAACAATAAAAATTGATTTTGATTTCTCGATGTGTTGGTAATGTGTGTGAATGTTTCCCATCGATCTCACACGTGTGTCCCTCCACCTGTGTGTGTGTGTGTTGTGTGCGTTGTTGTAATCTCACCACCCCTGTGTGGTGTGTGTACTGTGTGTTGCCTGCCACGAGTCATGTCTTACCACTCTGGTGTGGTGTGTGTGCCTGTGTATGTCTGTTGTTGTGTGTATTGTGTGGTGTGTGTATGTTGTGTGTGTGTCTGTTGTTCCTCATGTGACACTGTGTGTGAAACTATGTATACATATACATTATATATGTATGAAGGA